CTCCGCTTCCTCCTCCTCCTCCTCCTCCTCCTCCTCCTCCTCCTCCTGGTCTTCATCCTCTTCCTCCGCCTCCTCCTCCGCCTCTTCCCCCTCCTCTTCTCCTCTTCTCTCCTCTCCTCCTCCCACTCCTCCTCCTCCTCCTCCTCCTCCTTTCCCCTCCTCCTCGCTCCCCCTCCCCCTCCAATCCTCCAGTCCTCCATCCTCCTTCACCAGGTGTCACACCCTTGCGCCTTCCCGCGCCCCGTAGGTCCCGCCAGCGGAGGGGCCTTGGGCCTTGGGACCCGAAGGTCTCTTCGACCTTCCCATCAGGTGCCAGAGGCCGAGGACGAATGGTCGGACTGAGAGACCGCAGTGTCGGACGTTTCAGGCGTTGACTCTCGGCACATGACTGTTTTCAAATTCCCGATTGTTTTTGCCCCAGGGCGCGGAACGGGCGCAGACATGGCGAACAGCTTCTGGTGATGAGTCTGGAAGTCTGCAGAGGTGCGCCTGGCCCCGCAGATGTCCGCGCGCGGAGACTCCAGGAGGCCCCCGAAGCATCCAGAGGCACCAGGCCCAAGTTTTTTTGTGGGGGGGGCCTTGAGGCCCCCAAAGAGCACCGAACGGCACCAAATAGAGTGAGGGCATTGAATGCGGAACCATTGCGTACATCAGGAATGCAGAGCGTGGAAGTCGGTGGAACACCAAATGAGGCTTGGCCATACGTATCAACGCCACCCCCCACAGACAAGGAATTCTCCGGGGTCTGAGGCCTCCTGAGCACGTGCCTGATCGAACGCGCCCACCGTAAACGGGGGGGTGCAGCCAGGTGCACATTTCGTGCATGCTCGGGGCCCCATCTGGGCTCCGTTCCTGCAGCCCTCGATCACCCCCTTCCAGTAAGACAAAGCCTGGACGATAACCAAATCGGGTGAGGATAAACCGAGAATCTCTGAGATCCGGCGGCTCTGGAGGATGTATCGGGCGCCGCGGCCTTTTCGGAGAGTTCCAGAACGCTCTGAGAGCGTTCCGGAACGCTCTGGAACGGATTTATCCACGTCCTAGCCCGTCCGATCGCCCTTCATCCCCCCCCCCTCCTTGCGAAACGCTCCAGGGCCCCAGGTCGGGGCATGCGGAGGTGTCTCCAGATGCCTTCGGAGGTCCCCGCGAGGCCCCTGGATGTCCTCGCCGTGACCTCCAAGCAGAGCTGCAACGTAGCGTAGCACCAGGCCTCCAGAAACCAAAGGCCGGTCGAGCTTCTGAGGCACTCCAGATGTGTAGCCGCGCCGTTTGTTCTCGACGCGCCCAAGTGGACGACGCCGTCACCACGGCAAACCCAGAGCGAGCCTTGCGCCCCACGCCCCAAGTAGACAAAGCCAGCGCCGCGGCCAACCCCACGGCTTGCCCTGCGTCCGCGGCGGAATTTGCCGTGGTGGCCGAGGCGCCCTCCCCAAGGCGGAAGGCCACGCGTCGGAACAAACGGCGAGGCGACATATCATGTCTATGGGTCTGGATGGCCACCTCAGGTCAGAGTACAATCAAAGTCTACAAGGACGGGCGGTAAGGACGCAAGGGCCTTGGACGCCCACCCACAGGGTACCCTGAGGGGCTGGCCAGTGAAAACGGCAAAGGACGGGCAGCAGAGGCAAGGACGCAAGGGTACCCTCCGGACAGTGGTGCTCCTTACTACCAGCTTCGACTGTAATCTCAGGAAGGAAGTCCTCTGGGAGGTCAGGGTCAGAGGCCAACCGAGGCTCAAAACTGGGCGAGAGAGCCCGAATGCCTCGAGCCCCGATCCTGTCGCCGTCGCCATCCCGTGTTGGCTCTTGTGCCTCCCCCGCGTCCTGGGCGATGGGCCTCGAGAGGTCGGAGGTCCGCGGGAACTTTCTGGGCCAGCGGTGACTACGGTCGGGAACTTTTGCTTAGCTTGTCGCGGCGGCGGCCCCGGCGACACGCTGCGCCTTGCGAGTGGATAGCGTGTTGCTCCGCTCCGCGGGGGGGGAGGCTCGGGAAAGTTCGGGACGTTACAGCCTGGGGGCTGGGAAATGGATGGTGTGTCGCTACAAAGCGTACCGTAGGACGAGAGTGCTGCCATGATGCGACTGGCTCAGGAGATGTTCCAAAAGTTCTCGAGTATGTAGCGCCCCTCGTGCCTGCAGCCCGTGTGAAACATGAGATCTGGGGAATCCGGGAAATCCTGGAATGTATGATTGGCATGATCCAAGAGAGCCCACCATCGTATCGATACCTCGGATCGGCGATCGGAATTAATCGGATCGGCGGAACCCGGCAACCAAGTCGGCAGAAGGAGAATCGGCGGAAAAGCTGCAGGCTGGTAGGGGATCCATTGAGAAACCGACATCCAGAACGATTTGTTTGGCATGACGCTTCCCTCATCGAATCGCCTGGTGAAACACTCAGGGCATCCTCCCGTCTCTGTTACGATGTGCCCGACAGCCTTTGTGCGAGACGTTGAACCAACGCGTGCGCCAAGTCCCGAACAGTGATTTCTGCATGGAGGGCAGACCGGGCCTGCTGCACGAATACACCCACATAGCTGATCCTGCACATGAGGCCACTGACCAGGTCGTGTGCGTGAACGAAAAAAGCTGCTCCTCTCACTTCATGGGCGCAGCCCCCGCCACAGTGTATTTGAAGGGACCTGAAGGCCCCCAAATCGGAATTCGAAATCTAATCGAATCGGTATCGGAATCAATCGAAATTGAATCGAACTGAGTCGGAGAGGTCCAAATGAGCCCTGATAAGCCCCCTTCCCGCACCCCTTCCCTGGCGCGCCCGGCGCGCGGAGCGCGCCAGAGAGGCGACGCCTGGGGGCGGTGGGGAGGGGGTGCCAGCGCCGACCTAAAAGAAACCCATCGCCGATGCATCGGCATTGCGGCTCGATGTGGAGCCCGACTTTGTCCACGCAGACGTCGTTGATGGATCGCAAACGTCGTCGATGCATCGACAATGCATCGGCGATGCGGCGTGATCCTCCGACCCCACCTGCTCGGATCCCATCTGGGATACCTTGGGTTAGAGCAATTACTTCTCTTCTGGTTCCACCTTGTCTCGGAGACCTCAGACGCCCCTGGGGGTCCCCAGAGGCCTCCGGAATGTTTCCTTCCAGCGCAGCCGAAAGTGTCCAGAAGAACGTGGTGTTAGGGAGGTCGTTTGGAGAGCCAAGGGGCTCCTGGAGGCCTCTGGAGGCCAGGTAAAACTTCACGCGCCGGGACACGTACATCCTCGAGCCTCCTTCCCCATCCTCGAGGTCTGGGCCCTGTGGCTCCCCCACAGGTCCTGGGCGAGGGGGCTTTAGGGGGCGCTTTTCCGCTCCCTGTCGCGCTCTCTGGCTCTCGCCGCCACGGCCGGACCCGCCTAGGAATCGGGGCCAGAACTAGAAGAAGAAACAAGTGCGCAACACACAACCTTTCGGAGGTCCGCGCGGGCTTCTCGGATCGGGACTGGGTCCCCCTCCCTGGCGGCGCCAGAGGCACCTGCCAGGCCGATCCAAGAAATCCGCGCGGCCCTCCGAAAGTCTATGTTCATGCAATTTCTTCTTCTGTTTCTTCTTCTTCTTCGAAGGACGCAGCATCCGGGGAGCGGCGGTACGTAGTCGGCATCTGGGCGACGAGGCAAAGGGGCGCATCACGTACGATCGCACAAAGTCAAGGTCAAGGTCCCGTACGAGCACGAAGCCCGGTCCGATACCGGACGCGGAGTGAAACAATTACAACTCTCTGCTGCCGATGCATTCATGATTGGGCATGGAAAATAAGGAGGGGAGGAAGGGGGGGGGAGTCACTTTGCGGTGGCTCACGGAAGCCGAGGCGTGGACTTTCGTTCCCCCGCCAGTCCCGGGCGAGGGGCTCCAGAGGGCGCTTCTGCTCCCTGTCGCGCTCCTGAGGTGAACGAGAAGGGGGGGGGACTGGCTTAGTGGGGGGTGACATCGACCTGGGATCATCTGCGATGTATCGCTGATAGAGCGGCGACAGGCTCCCGATGGCGGAATTGGACGCTCCTGAGCGAGGTGGGCTCTCGGGTCCCTATCGGCGATGGATGGGCGATTGGGGGTCGATGCCTATCCCCCCCTCCGACGCTGCCTCCCGGCTTTCGGGTCATAGCTCGGGTCTCTGGCGGCTATTCTGGGAGATTCTGGCACTCTCGGAACGCCATCGGCGAGCCGCAACTGCTGGAAGGCATCCCAAGACCGGGAAACCACTGAGAACCGACGAAAACGGCCCAAAGCCTTCGACCTGAGCCTGGGGCGGCGACACGGTACAGATGCCGCTACTCCGGATTTTCTCTGGGGTGCGTTCTGACGATGATTTTGCGGCGAATGTATACGCGGCGACGACGCAAGGGCAGCGGTACCGTTTAATCAGCGTGGGCCTCAAACAGCAGGATCTTGCACCCTCGATGTGCAACGTATGCGTTGTCATGTATGCGATGCTTTCTGTGTATCGTGCAATCGATGTGTTGAGTGCCAGCTTTCTGGCGCAAGCTGTGTGGTGCCACCAATGTAGTGCAGGCTACGTGGTGCGAGCTACCTTTCCCCTGCCCCCCACAACGTTCGCCCCCAAGCTCCCTGTCGCGTTCCCTGGCCCTGTCCGACGGCTCGCCCTCGTGGGCTGTGCCTCGCCGGCGGGATTCCTCGTGCGGGGGGGACAAGGGAAAGGGAGGATGAAAAGGAGCAGAAGAGGAGGAGAAGAAAAAGGACAAGAAACAGAGGAAGAGGAGGAGGACGAGGAGGAGAGGAGGAGAAGGAGGAGGAGGATGAGGAGGATGAGGAGGATGAGACGGAGGAGAACGAAAAACGAAAAGCGAGGTGGAAGAGGAGAGGGATGAGGCGGCAGCCACGCCGGGACAGCTCATGGTCTCTGAAAACTCCCCGAAGCAACTGACGACCGCTGGGCGCACTACGAGCTACTATAGCCCTCGCGTTGTCAATCTCGCAAAACTGCCCCCCCTCACAGCGCAAATCCAGCAGTGGGGACTCCACTGGGTATAACATTGGTCGGGAAGACCTTGCCCTACCAGGTCTTTCGACATTTCAGCACTGTGGGATGGCTCCTGCAATCATTGCCCTCTCAACTGGAGGAGAGAAAGGGTGGCGGGCGGCGCGCCTGACGCTGCAACGCGGAAGCGGAAGGAGGGGGGTAGGGAGCCCAGCGGCTCCCGACGAGAGGGGATCCTGCCGCGAATGGGACACACAAATCTTAATAGGCCACCCACCGCATGCAGAGGGGGGGGGCACGGGGCGGCGGACGACACGCGCGGGGGGGGGACGGGAACGACGGGGCACGAACGGCGCGGGACGACAGGCGGGACCAACGCGCGACACAGCAGCAGCAGCAGCAGCAGCAGCAGCAGCAGCAGCAGCAGCAGCAGCAGCAGCAGCAGCAGGAAGCAACCATTGGACAAAGAGGAACACGTGGTACCACGCAGGACGTGCACAATAATCTGCTTGCCCAAAACTCACTCAACACACCCCGAGGCCGTGTCAAACGAAATCAGATCTCTATATTTCTATCTGCATATATCCAGTGTGTATGTGTGTAATGATAAGCGCGTGTATATGTAAATATCGATGAACAGTCGTAAATGCGTCAGTGCGGGGGCGGGCTATGGGGGGGGGAGGGGGCTCATTGGCCGCGCCTTCCCTCCCCTCTGCCATGTCCCCCTCTACCACGTCAGCGTGCACGCGCACTACTAAACCGTAGAGAGGGGCATCTGCACACACATGTCACTAGTTCGCGCTCAGTGATGCTCGTACGAGGTCCCAGCCCAGGGTCTAACTCTTGCAATCTTGCTGTTGCGACGGGGCATTTTCCCTAGCCTGTTCTGGACCTTGCGCCCCTGGCTGTTCCAGGGAGGTGTTCCTACTGTCGGCCCGCTGCCTATCTGCACCAGGCCCTGGGTGATGACCACATTCACAGGGATGCAGACTCCTCCCGCCGCGCAGCTCACATTCACGCCGAACGCGTGACGAGCCTTCGGGTCTTCACCCTCTTGCTGGTATGTGTCATTTGGCCCTCCAGTCGCGGAGATACTTGCTCGCCAAACCCTTTCTTGTTTGGCCACCCCCTTTCACACAAAGGCTTGGAACATGGTCATCTCCTCGCGCACTGACGGGTCTTGCTGGAGCTGAGGGTCGCCAGCCATGGCTTCGAGCACAACCATCCCCACCGCTGCAGCGTTCAGGGCGCAAGCGGCAGGGGGAATGTGGGTGGCGCGGAGGCAGCCCTCGAGCATGCGCATGCGCTGCGTCACATTCAAGCATGCCCCCTGCCCGTCGCTAGGGCTGTATCGTCCTCGCCGTGTGGGTCGGGGACGTCGGTATCCATGGCCCCGAGGGTTGGCCCTGGGGATCTCCCTGGGGCTCTCTGACGCCAATGATTGGGCCCATCCTAACCGCGCCAACCGGCGCTGCGCGAAAGTTCGGAGGGATTGCTCGCTATGCGCTTGCGGGCGCCCATCAGCATTTCCGCGCTGATGGCCCCTGGCCCCCGCTGCGCCGCCGCCGAAAGGAATGCTCGCAGCCGCGGGAAGCGCGATGCGGAGTCCAATGTGCACCTGAAGAGCCTCTGGCATGCTATAGTCCTCGCTTCGCGCGGGGCACAGGAAGGCCGAGGCGTGCTCGATAGCACGCAAGGGCAGCCTTCGATCGGCAAGACGCCGACCGCATAGCAACAGGGGCCGTGCATGCTGACGCACAATCGCTCGATTCGATTGTGCGCCCGTGCACCAGGGGCACTTTGCTTGACCATGAAGAAACTGCTGGATGCCCGATTTCTGTGCGCCCCAGCGGTTGTGAACCGCGCGTGCGAATGCCAGCCTTGCTGCTCGTGGCGTTGAAGGCCACGTGCAGCACCATCACCGCGCAACTCGGCGCGCGCCCGCGCGGGGCGGGGGGGGCCAGGCACAGTCGCCGCGCGCGTCGTGCTCGCATTGGCAGTGGAGCTCGTGGAGGGACTCAACGCGCCCGAGCCCGTCAGGAAACCCATCGCAGAACGCGCGTGATCGAGCCCGACCTGTCGCTTTCACCAGTCCAGCACCACCCCGAACCAGATGAAGGACCCCGAAATCATTGTAAGCCTGCAGCGCCCGATGCTTCCCACGGAATGCCCCGCCCCTCGTCGCGCGCCAGCTGCCAGTACTGGAGGGTTTCAACCGGTTCCTCTGGCAGTCGGCCGCAAAGAACAGCTCATCCTCGGACGCCGCGCCCCCGTATGAGGCGCAGCCTGTTGCAGCCGTCCTAGTCGACGAACGCGGAATCCCAGCTGCGAGGGGGGCGCATCTGGCATATCCTTCATGGGCGGGCGTTGGTCGCGCAGCCCGTCCTCCGAGCGGCTGCTCCGACTGTAAAAGTAACCCATCAATAAGACTGCAGCCGCTCTGAGTGGCATGCAGGCGTTTAACCCACCGAGAGCAGCGCCTTGCGCGCGAGCCTGGAAGATGGCTCGCTGGACGTCGTTGCCTACGTCCCTGGCGCGCCCAAACTCGCCAATGGAATGCCAGCTGACGCGTTTGCTCTCAGGGGTGATCTGCAGTTGCCGCGCTAGGTTGCAGCCTTGGCAAAACTGAATTCCGAAACGCCGTTCAGAGGCCCAGGGAACGCAGTGGACTCGCGGACAGCTCCAGCGCCTATGAATTTGGGGACCAAGAGTTGCCTGCCATAGCTCTGGGCACCCAGCGCCCAGCTGAGTGCTCGCAACGCGTGCCTCTCGCGCAAGTGCTCGGGCACTCGGCGCCATAATCTTGCGCGCAACGTCGCCCATGAACGCAATGGCGGACGCGTCGACGCGCTCCGGGGCCAGGGGCTGGGTGCGTAGTACAGCTGGCCTCTTGCCCCCTCCTCCCTCGTGTAGCCGAGGGCTCAACTTTAACCCGCTGGAACGCGCGATTGTGCTTGCTCGGCGCGCTCTGTCGTCCCAGCAATGCTCTTTCCTCCATCGGGCGCCCCCCCTGCACCGCGAGAGAAGTCCACGGCGCGGGGCTCGAGCGATTTCACGCAGCGCCAACGAAGACATTCTCTGGGCGGCAGTGCGCGCTGTTAAGATTGTACTGTCCAGAAAAAACGCAAACACTCCTGCGCGTCTGCCCGGTCGAGAATTGTCACGCGCGGCTTCGCCGTCCTAGCTCGTCGCCAGCTGGCGATCAATGGCGCTTTCGCTGCAGACTCACGTCGCCCATAGATACTCTAGACCACCGTGCGCGCAGCTAAGATACTGATTTTCATGGCGTGCGCGCGCGCCGCGCCCACCCCCCGCCAGCGCGCGCATCGCCTGCGGGAGTTGGCGAACTCTGTGAACGAGCCGCATGGCTTTGATGCCGCTGGCCGAAGTGGCCTTCGGCAGGCAGCGCCCCCAAGAACGGTTCCACTCGCCGCGAAAACTGCCATCCTTGTCGCGATGCCGGCGGCCCGGAAGAGTAAGGGGGAGCAGCGCGCGAAAGACTCCGCGGGCACACTCCAGGCCAGCGCGTTTTTACAATTGCTCGCAACCACCGGGGCCGCTTGGACGGCGGCAAGGTCCTGGCCCCCCATCATCTTCCAACGACGAGTTCCCGAAGCGCCCTCCATCGCGATGCCAATGGCCCTTAGGAGGATAGGAGGAAGAGTCCACGCAGGGAGCGCGCTGGCCACCCAAGTGACCAGGCTGCGCTAGGTGATCCCCCCGCACCTGCACTGAGAGCTTATGCCCAGTGGGTGCATCGAACCTGCGTCCCGCGCCAACTGCGGTAGCAGCACGCGGAAGCGCGACCTAGGTCGCTTTTGCCGCAGCGGGCAAGGCGAACTGCAATCCGGCGCAGCCGCTCTACGCGGCAGCGCGCGCCCCCCTGGCAGGGCGAGTCCGTCGCACGCGCGCGAGCCAAGGTGGGGGCGAGGCTCGGCTGGCCAAGAGTTGGCCAGTTTAGCGCCATCACGGCGCGTTGCGCAAGTGTGCGAGCTGAGCGCCGCGAGCGTCACCGCTCCCGCGCGCGGCCGACCAGCGACGGCGGCGGCGGCAGGACAGGCGGGGCGGGAGGGCGCGGCCAGGGATCGCGGGGAGGCGCCTCGGCGAGAGAACCGCCCCGATCCGACGGGCGTGGCGATGGGCGAGAGAACGAAGCCAAAGGACGCCGAGGACCCATCCCGACCTGGGCTGAACCAGGCGCCCAGTGGGCTACGTCGATGTTCGCACCTGGAAATAGGCGCAGCAAGGCATGCATTTCCGCGACAAAGGGGGCGGTCTGATCGGCTGAAGCCGAAGCAAGTGAAGAGACGGGGGCCGAGCGCTGCTTCGCTGCTGGAGCGGAGCACGGGGACTACCGGCGCAAAGTGGAGGACAGGGCGGCATCCCCGACGCAGCGGCTGAAGAGGGCCTCTCCGCGCCCGCGGAGGCGTCGCCGAGGGCAGACGAACCGACGGGATCCGCGGAAGCAACTGCGCCAGGAGCTGGCGAGCGGAAATCGCGCTGGCCGAGCGAACCTTGCCCGGCGGCGGCGCATTGCCCTCGCCGGATAACCGCGCTCGCACGCGCGCGAGCTCGCTCGGCCCAGCCACTCTTGGCGGCTGCAGCGGGCCAGGGAGTCGAGCGAAAAAAGTCGTGAGCGGCCGAGAGGGAGGCGTCCAAGAGGGGGGTGCAAATCGTGACCGGCGTCATGTGCGCGGCCCAGCGGGGGGGCCCAGGGACGTAATGAAATAAGAAGAGGCGCCATGAAATCTGGGCAAATATCATGGCCCCCGCCATGATATCCACCCCCCCCTAATCATCGCCCCCTTCTTTTCCGCCCCCGAGAAAGCCAACGTGGCTAGCATAGCGCCGGGGCGGGAGAGGGCCCGAATCCAGGTCGCGACGTCGAGGCGCGCTTTACCCTGCGGCGGCGCAACGACCTCGCTGGAAGAGCCCATCCCGACCCCCGCGGCCGCGCTCGGACTCGGCGCGCGAAGCGCAGCGACCGCCCGCGGAAAGGGCAGACGGAGGGGGCGACAGATCCCCGCGGGGCGCCCTGGAGGGGGCGGCCCATCGGCCACGTGGCGGCTTGGCGCCCGCCTTGGCCTCGGGCGGAGTCGAGCCTTTGGATTTCGGCCCCTGGCTCGCCCCCCCCCTCGGCCCGGGCCCTTCGACGCCGCCGCCCGCCCCGAATCCAGGCGGGGCGGGGTGGAAGTCAGCTCCTTCTCGTGCTCCTGGGCCGACGGCCAGCGCGGGTCCACTAGGGGCGAGAACGGGCTGCGCGCCTCTCGCTCCGCGCGCCGGCGCGTCGCGCGCGCCGCGGGGCCCCCGAGCCTGTCAGGGGCCGCGCCGCTTCAAGGTGCCCGCGATGCCCGGCCAGCTGATCCGCGAACGTGCGCTGGCAAGACAACGGGGCCCTTCGTCGCCTGCTTCGCTGGCTCGCCAGAGCTCGGCACTCAGCCGCGCGAAGCGGGCCGGCGTGGACTCTGCCCCCGACAGTGCTGGAACATAGCCATGGGCGCCACGTCTTCCAAGCGAATCCCGAGAGCGCGGGCCAAATTCTCCTTCAGTAGCTCGCTGACTCGAGGCCCGCGCTGCATGGGCGCCCGCTGCCACGCGCGACGTCGCGCGATTCCCCGCATCCGAATCATCGCGTTCGCGCCATCTGCAGACGGCCCCTGCTGCGACGGCGATTGCTCGTCGAGCGGGCCCGGCGGGGGGCGGGGCGACGCTCGAGGGCCCTGCTGGCGCGAGAAAGCCTCTCGGAGACACACCGACTCGAGGTCCAGCGTCGACGGCCGGGTCGCGGCTGGGACCGAGGGCCCTGCCACGGCGGCCTCCCCGGCGACGGCGGGCCCCTGGCCGGGGGCGGGGGGCCCTGGAGGCCCCCCCCCCCCCGCAGCGTGGCCAGAGACGGCGAAGCCTCGGCGGGCGCGCTCGCGGAGCCCCCCACGCTGCTACCATGGCGGAGACGGTGGCGCCCTTCTTGGCTGGCGCCCGCTGCAGGGCAGGAGGGGCTCGCGTCGCGAAGCTCTGCAGGTCGTGCAGCGGGGTCCCCGGGCGAGCGGCCTCGTCCTCGAACGGCTGAAGAGCGTCGCGACGAGGCACCTGGGGCTCTCGCGGGGGGCCCGCCAACGGCAGCACGGGGGCTTGGTGAAGGACAGCCGCCTGAGCCGCCATCATCGCACGCATCGCCGCTACGACCTCCGCTCTGGTCAAGGGAGCGCCGTCGTCCATGGGCGCGCCCGCTCGGCTGGGAGTTCGCGGCTGCGCAGCAAGAGCCACGAAAGCTTTGGGCCCTGCGTGGGCCCCAGGGGCCCGGGGAGGTGGGGCCGTCGCGGGAGCCGCAGGCTCGCGGTCGGCGGCGCCTGCCTCCCCCGGATCCGAGATGGACGCGATCTCCTCCACTCCCTCCGATCCTGCGTGAGAAGGGGTCGCTCGCTCGGCCCCCGCCAAGTACTCCTCGCCGTCGGCAGGGGGGGCACCATGGAGGGTGGCCAACAGCTCGCGGAGCAGCCTGACCATGGACGGATGCGGCCAGCAAGCCCGGCCCTGCGCCGCCGCATAAGGGACGAGCTCGGTTGGCACGCCCGCGGGCAGCGGCGACAAGGACTCGAGCTCCATCTCGTCGATGTTTAAGTCGATCACAAGGACGGAAACCGTGGTGACCAGCGCGCGCGAACTCGCCCGAGGAAAGGCATCTCCAGCACCAGATACGGGCCCAGCTACCCAGAGAAACCCTCTGCCTCCGCGGCCGCCAAGTCGGCAGCCAAGCGGAAAGATGACGGAAGGGCAAGCAGCACGCCACGGCCCCGCTGCGCAAGCGGTATGGCGGCGAAGCTGAGGTCGCCCTCGTCGAACCGCCATCTGGCATAGCCCGCCGCAGACGGCGTCTCGAAGGGGTCCAGCTCGGGCCACGCGGGGCCTTTTGGAAGCGGTGGCACGGCAACCATCGTCTCCAGCGTTGTGGGGCAATTCTCTCCGCCGAGCCTCGCGTCGGTTCCGGAAAGGCACCGTCAACGCGCCCGTGGCGACGGAACGCGCGCGGGCGGCCCGAAAGCCGGCCCGAGGGGACTAGCCCCTCCGCGGCGACGCGGGCCGAAGACCCGCCGCCACGGAACCGCGCGAAGCGGCTAGGGGGCCAGGGCCGTAGGCCAAGGCCCGAACAGGTGCCCTTGCGGATGCAAGTGTCGGCGCGCCCAGCGCGCGGCGCACGCGCGCCAGGCACGCGCGCCAGGTACGGGCCCTCGCAGCGGACCACCAGGCCCGCGAGACAGCAGCCTCCGCAGAAGCTGCAGCAAGCGGTCACTCCCGCGAGCGAAAAAAAAACCGTCGCGAGCAGCAGAAGAGAGACCCCGCCGCTCAGGTCCACCGCCCGCCCAAGGCAGACGGTGGGACAGGAAGCAAATCCAGGCACTCCGCCGCTGCTTCGAGGCCCGCCGCCCGAGAAGGCCAAGAGGACACAAAGGCCGGGGCCGCCAGGTCCGTCAAGGGAAATGGTTGGCCAGCGAGCCGCTCGAAGAGCGCGGCTCGGCAGGCTCTGGTAGGGCGCAGCGCCACCCGCCTCCGCCAACCGCTCGACGGCGCGCTGCATCAGCGGGCCGCGGGCCGAATGGGGGGGGGGCCACTGGGCCGAAACACTGCAGAGACCGCGTGGGGGAGGTCGCAGAGAATAGGAGGAGCATGATGATGCTGCTGATGATGATGATGATGAGGAGGAGGAGGCGGAGGAGGAGGAGGAAGAGGAGATGGAGGACAAGAGGAGGTAGAGATAGAGAATAAGGAAGAACAAAGGTCACTTAAACACTTCGACCCCTGCCCCCAAGACAACGGTGTAGTACCGAATTCGGTGTTGGTAGTACTGATGCTGCCAACAGGGGACGATGTGGATTGGAGTGGCCTGGAAGAGACGAGAGAATGGAGGATGGAAAAGGGGGGACGGAAGCCATAGGAAAGCAGAAGCAGCAGTCGAAGAGGGAAGCAGTGAGAAGAGAGGGAGCAGGGAGGATGGAGGGGGCAGCGGGTCATCAACGGAAGACCAATGATCTATAGTACGGGGCCAGGAGTTCGTTGTACGAACCCAAAGACTTCAACTGCAACGTGACTCGTGCAACTAACGCACCGTAGCACTGATACTGGGCGAACAGAACTTTGTCCCAAGATCTCCAGGGGAAAATCAGACACCTCCTGGGGCGAGCTACGATGCATCTCCGCCGTCCCGCGCGCCACGAAGAAGAGACAACACCTCGATTGAACCACAAAGTGGGAATTAACCTGCCGACCCCCGAGTGGAAGCCTACAGGAGCGCAGCTGTCGTGCGCAGCGCAATCTCGTACCAGTACGTGCGGGTACGCATCATGAAATGAAAACTGGTCGTTGTGCTGGGGGCCGGGAGTGGCAGGGAGGAGGAGGAGGAGGAGGAGGAGGAGGAGGAGGAACAGAAAGAGGCGGAAAAGGAAGAGGGCGGCGTGGCCCTGTACGGAAGAGGGCGCCCGTCCGACGGCGGGGCTCCTCGTCCTTCGCGGCGCGCCGGGCGTCCTCCTCGCGCCCTCCACGCGCCTTGCCGTCCAGCGGACGCAAATCGCTCCTGCGGGGGGATATACAAACCAGACGGACATACATGCGCCGGAAGCGCCGTTAGAGGTGAGGACGATGGAAATACTCGGCCAGGCGGAACGCGGCCAGGCTGAACTCGGCCAGCTGAACGCGGCAAGGCTGAACTCGGTAAGGCAGTTCAGCTCGGCCGAATTGAGCCGAAGCCGGCCAGCCGAGTTAGGCTTGGCCGAGTTCAGCCTGGCCGAGTTCAACCCAAGCGTTAAACTTGGCCAGATCAGTTTGTTGGCCGAGTTCAGCCTGGCCGAATTCAGCCTTGCCGAGTTCAGCCTGGCCGAACTGATCCTGGCCGATTGAATAAACTCGCTGCCTGTGGGGAGAGGGGAGAAGGGGGGGGATGTGGCTGCACGGACCCAAGAAATCTGCGCGGGCGGACCTCTGGAAGTTGACTCCGGATTTCGGAATAAAAGGAAGGTGATCTGCCTTGAAGGGGGGTCGGGTTTGAAGTCTTGGGTGTCTCCAGAGAGGTCTGGGCAAAAAGGCTGCCATTTCATGGCTGGTCTGGGGAGGGTGTCTCACACTGCTCGTCAGGGACGGTTGTGATTCCCCCCCTTTTGTTACGAAATGTGGAACCTGCTGTTGGCGTTTCTTGGCTGCCCATCTCCTGGCGTCGCCCTCGCGCGTGCTGCGCCTGGGATCGTCCGCCTCGGCATGGCGCCGCCCAGGAGGGCGCAGGTCACCTGGGGGTCCCTCCAGAGGGCGCAGGTCGCTCCTGGCGTCGCCGTCGTGCGTGCCGCGCCTGGCGTCGTCCTCGTGGGCACTGCGTCGCCCGTCGTGGCGCCTGTCGTGTCTGCCATCAGGCGGGCGCAGGTTGCTCGTGGCATCGCCCTCGTGCGTGCCGCGCCTGGGGTCGTCCTCGTAGACGACGCGCCTCGCGTCGTGGCGCTCGTCGTGCCTGCCTGCCTCTGGAGTCCTTGCCTCCCGCCTGCCGTCCTCATGGCGCCCATCGTGCCTGCTGCCAGCTTCCTGCAGCCTGGCATGCCTCCCATCACCCTCGCGCCCTTCCCGCCGGCCGTCCTCCTGACGCCTATCGTGCCTGCCATCCTCCTGGCGCCTGGCGTACCTGGCCTCGCCCTCGCGTCCGTCCCGCCAGCCGTCCTCCCGGCGCTCGTCGTAGCCGCCATCCTCCTGGCGCTTGGCGTGCCTCGCCTCATCTTCGCGCCTGTCCCGCCGATCACCCTCCCGGTGCCTGTCGTAGTGGCTGTCCTCCTGGCGCCTGGAGTGCCTCGCCTCGTCCTCCTGGTGCCCGTCGTGCCTGCCAGCCTCCTGGCGCCTGGCGTGCCTCGCCTCGCCCTCGCGCCCGCCCTCTTCGTGGTGTCTCTCGCCCCTCTCCTCGGCCTCGCGGGCGCTGCGCCTGCCACCCTCCTCGTGCCCGTGGCCCTCCTGAGCCTCGCCCCAGGGCGCGCCGCGCGCTGGGCCGCGCATCTCCGAGGACCGCAGGCGCAGCGCCTCGCCCCCCTGCGGCGGCGCCTTGGCCCGCGTCGGGGGCGCCTTCAGGGCTACAGTGATGCCATGATGCGATTGGCTCAGGACGCGTTCCAGGAGTTCCGGAGCATCTAGTATCAAGCTAAGGGCCCTCGTGTCTCTGGCTCGCGTGGCACCCCAGGAGATCCAGGACATCGTGGAAATCTTGGAACGCATCCTAACAGCGACCTCTTGCCCCTCTGAGCCTTGGCCCTCGCGGGCGGCGGCTCCTCGGGCCAGCCGCCCCGCACCGGCAGCGGGGCCTTGGCCCGCGTGGGCGGCGGCGGCGACGGGGGCTGCTCGAGGTGCAGTTCCGGCTCCTGCCGCGGCTGCGCCTCGGGCAGGGCCTCCCGCCGTGGCGGCGGCGGCGGCGCCTTGGCCCGCGTGCGCAGCACCGGGGAGGGGCTCCGCTCCAGCCGCTCCGGCCGCGGCGGGGCCTGCGGCAAGGCCCTCCGCGGCAAGGGCCTGCGCGCGTGCGGGGGCGGCGGCGATGGGGCCCTCTGCGGCGGCGGGGTCGACGGGGCCCTCTGGGACGCCGGTGACGGGGGCCGCTGCTCCAGGCGCAGCGGGGCAGGCGGCGGCTGCTCGTCCCGCGGCAGCGGGATCTCCTGGGGCGACGGGGGCTGCGCCCTGGGCTGCTCGATGCCCGCGTCCGCCGCCGCCTTCTTGAGCGCCTCGAGCGAGATGGCCTTCGGGGGGGCCGCCTCCTGCGGCACCGGCAGGGTGGACGGCGGGGGCAGGGCGACGTCCTTCGGGGGCGTCCAAGAGGGAGGGGTCCGAGAGCGGGGGAGAGGGATGGGGGGCAAATCATGTCCGCAGGCACGTGCGCTGCCCAGGGGGGGGGGCAGAGAGCGTACTGAAGGAAGAAAAGGGGACCATCATGGCCCCCCGCCATGGTATTCTTCCCCCGTAGTCACCACCCCCCTCTTGGTCGCCCCCGAGTCCTGGGCCTCCAATGGCGGGGGCCGGTCGGCCTCGGCGGGGACGTTGTAGATCTTGTCTGGGGGCACGCGCTTCTTGCAATTGAGGTCGTAGGAGCCGTCGGCGTTCCGGTGCAACACCTTGGCCTGGATCCACCGGTTCACGCTCTGGCTCCAGTAATGGACCCGCTCTCCGGGGCCCCACGGGCCACGCTCCAGCTCGATCTGCAGCTCCTGTACCCTCTCCAGCTGGACCTGCCGTTGCTGCGCACAAGAGGGTGGGACGAGGGTCGCGGCTTTCTGCTACTTGCCTCTGAGAAGCCTCACTGCCCTCCGAGAAACCTTCATGGAAGCCTCTGAGAAGCGGGCGATCCCTTTCCCTCAATCAAGCCCCCCTGCCTTCTCTGAGGAGGGCCACCCGGCAACTCGATTTCTCGCAATCGTCGCCGCCCCATGGGCTTCTCGACCCCTTCCCCGTGACTGCTTTCAGATTCCCGATCGCCTTTGGGAAGCTCCAGGGCGCGGAACGGGCGAGGACATGGCGAACAGCTTCTGGCGATGAGGTCCCTGGAAATCTGCAGAAATGCCCCCGGTCCCGCGGAGGTCCGCGGAGGACCCATGAAGCCCCCGAAACCTCCAAAGGCACCAAGCCGCAATTTTTCCCAACCATCCTGTGGTGTTGGGTTTCTGCTTTGAAGAGACAGCGCCACGCGTCGTCCTCATTCCTCTTTCCTCCCCGTCCTCCTCCTCCTCCTCCTCCTCCTCCTCCTCCTCCTCCCATCCCTGCCATCCCTGCCTCTGCCCTCCGAATGCTTCTGTTTCGGCACACCCCTCACACGTTTAGTGTTCACATGGGGAGCTCCACCGAAGGTCCCAGTGGCTCTTTTCGCATGGCACAGCCGCACCAGTTTCGGCACACCCCTAACCCCCCACAAGGAGCTCCTCCGAAGGCTCCAAGGGCTGCGTTCGCATGGCGCCGCCGCGCCCATTTTGGCACACCCCTCACACGTTTCGTGCATCCATAAGGAACTCCGCCGAAAGCCCCAATGGCCCGGCACCGCTGCACCCGTTTCGCCACACCCCTTACACGTTTCGTGGCCCCATATGGAGCCCCACCGAAGCCCCCAAAGGCTGCCGTCGCATGGCACCGCCACGCCCATTTCGGCACACCCTTCACACGTTCCGTAGCCCCATGTGAAGCCCAAACGAAGGCCCTAGCGGCTGCGTTCGAATGGCACTGCCGCGCCCGTTTCGGCACACCCTTCACACGTTTCGTGGCCCCATGTGAAGCCCAAACGAAGGCCCTAGCGGCTGCGTTCGAATGGCACTGCCGCGCCCGTTTCGGCACACCTTTCACACAGTTCGTGGCCCCACAAGGATTCCCACCGAAGGCCCCAATGGCAGCGTTCGCATGGCGCCGCCGCGCCCGTCTCGGCACACCCCTCACACGTTGCGTGGCCCGACAGGGAGTTCCACCGGGAGCTCCAATGGCTGCGTTCGCTTGGCCCCGCCGCGCCCGTTTCGGTACACCCCTCTTACAGTTCGTAACTCCGTAAGAAGCTCCACCGAATCCCCCATCGGCTGCGTTCGCATAGCGCAGCCGCACCCGTTCCAGCACGCCCCTCGCACGTTTCGCAGCACCACAAGGAGTTCTACTGAAGGCCCCAATGGCCGCGTTCACATGACACCGCCGCACTGAGCACACCTCTCACACGTTTCGTGGTCTATAGGGAGCTTCAGCGATATTCCCAGATTCTGCGCTCGCATAGCACCGCCGCGCCCGTTTCGGCACACCCCTCACACGCGCCGTGGCCCCATAGGGAGCCCCACCGAAGGCCCCGATGGCTGCTTGCGCATGGCGCCGCACCCGTTTCGGCACACCCCTCACACGTGTAGTGGTCCCATAGGGAGCTCCACCGAAGGCCCCAAAGGCTGCGTTCGCTTGGCACCGCCGCGCCCTTTTCGGCACCCAGTTCACACGCCCCGTGACCCCACAGAGAGCTCAACCGAATGCCTGTGGCTGCGGTCGGATGGCGCAGCACGCTCGTTTCGGCAAACCCATCAGTCGTGTCGTTGCCCTATATGGCGCCCCACCGAGCGCCCCTGGCTGCGTTCGCATGGCACCGCTGCGCCCGCTTCGGCACACCCTTCACACGCTTCGTGGCTCCACAGCACGCTCCACCGAGGCCCCCAATGGCTGCGCTGGCATGGCACCGCCGCGCCCGTTTCGGCACACCCCTCACACGTTCCGTGGCCCGACAGGGAGCTCCACCGAAAGCTCCAATGGCTGCGTTCGCTTGGCCCCGCCGCGCTCGTTTCGGTACACCCCTCCTACGGCGTGGCTCCGTAGTGAAAGCCACCGAACCCCCATTGGCTGCGTTCGCATGGCACCGCTGCACCCGTTTCGGCACACCCCGCACTCGTTTCATGGCCCCATTCGCATGGCACCGCCGCGTCCGTTTCGGCACACCCTTCACACGATTGGTGGCCCCACAAGGATTCCCACCGAAGGCCCCAATGGCAGCGTTCGCATGGCGCCGCCGCGCCCGTCTCGGCACTCCGCGTACACGTTTCGTGGCCCCACAGGGAACTCCACCAGAGGGCCCAATGGTTGCGTTTTCATGGCACCGCCGCACCCCTTTCGTCGGCACCCAGCTCACACATTTCGTGGCCACATAGGGCGCTTCACCGAAGGCCCCAAGGGCTACGTTCGTATGGCACCGCCGCGTCGCGTGTCGGCGCACCCCTCACACGCTCCGTGGCCCCATAGGGAGCTCCACCGGATCCCCCAATGGCTGAGTTCGCCGCGCCCGTTTCGGCACCCCACTCACACGTTTCGTGGATCCAGAAAGCGCTTCACCGAATACCGCAATGGCTGCCTTCGCATGGCGCCACCGCGCCCATTTTGACACACCCCTTACACGGCTCGTGGCTCCATGGAGAACCCCACCGAAAGCCCCAATGGTTGCGTTCACATGGCACCGCTGCTCCGGCTTCGCCACACCTCTCACACGCTTCGTGGCCCCACGGGGAGCCTCAACGAATGTCGCAATAGCTGCGCTCGCGTGGCACCGCCGCGCTCGCTTCGGCGCACCCTTCACACGTTTCGTGGTCCCAAAAGGAGCCCCACCCAAGATCCCAATGACTGTGCCCGCATGGCACCGCCGCGCCTTTTCGGCAAACCCTCAAACGCTAAGTGGCCCCCGAACGGGCTCCACCGAAGAGGATATTCATGTTTGGGCTTCTCCTTTTGGGCGTCGCGCCACCGCGGGTTTGATGTGCACGAAGCTCAAGCACACTCGAAGGAGACGGCCGCAGAGGCCGGGCAAGGGCCCGAACTCGGCGAGCACCGCCGCCCTCCAGGCAGCCAGCCAAAAGCCAACGAGTTAGGCTCGTCGGCCGCACTGGCGCCTAGAGGGCAAGGCAACCCACCGAGAACGAGTGGGTCCAAAACACCGGGAACACACACTTTGACGTGTTCAACCACCCGGGGCCAAGCACGAGAGCCCGACCTAAAGGTGGCAGCAAGGGGATGGGCGAAGGGCCGCTCGAGCCGCGCACCTGCGGGTCCAGGCGGCGACGCTTCGCACAAGAGACCCAAACGTACCCCCACCCCCAAGGGCGTCATGATGTTCAGGGTTGTTTTTTTGGGGGGCGTCGCGCCGCCACAGGTTTGATGCGCGCGAGGCTCAAATACACTCGATGGAAACGGCCGCTGGGGCACAGCAAGGGCCCGAACTCGACGAGCTCCACCGCCTTCCAGACAGTCAGCAAAAAAAACAACGAGCTAGGCTCGTCGGCCGCAATGGCGCCTAGAAGCGAGGCAACCCACCGAGAACGAGTGGCCCCACAACACTAGGAAACACAATTCGACGTGTTACATGAACCCCCTGGGGCCAGTCCCGAAAACCTTCCGCGTTCCCCTATTGTAGCTTGCCGGCCTTTTGTACATGTCCACATCTGTCACATTATAAGCTGATTCAAACTCTACTTCCACCTGGCAGCGGCAGCTCGAATCCTACCCTTTGAGCTTGGCACAAATATACATTATTGCGGCGTCTGTCCTGCCCCATCGACCTTGCTGGAGCGTAAACGCCATATGTATTCTTATGGCGGGTGACGTTAGCTGTTGCCCCACCACTCCGCAGACAATGCATTTCGAAGCGTCGGCCTTGCAAGTCGAACATTAGGATCAATCAGGGCAACTACCTTCGCGCCTCAGGCGCCGTCGCTCCACAGATGAGGTATTTTGAACCTAGCTGGAAACAGCGACGCTTAAGAATCCAGATCCGGGGCCCATCTTGCATGCCTCACTGTGGATAACTGCCCGACCGCTCTTTTATATAAACATGTGCCACCAGCGCCAAGCGAAGAACTCACTGCGCGAGTGCACGTGTCAGAACCGACGACCATCACCGTTGCCGAGCCCCCCCCCCCCTCCCCAGCCAAGACCCCATGCCACAGCAGCAAGGGCCAAGACAACATCGGTAGTGAGAGGAGTAGCTGTGCATGGCGGGCGCTGCTTCTCCCGCGCTCGCACAAGGCTCCAGTTCTGCTTCCGGTCGCCTTTCAAGGAGGGCATCATCGACTGCGGGGCTGCCGCGGCATTGACCGCCAGGTTCAGCGGCTCGGGCCCCGCCCGACAGGCCCCCCATGCACATGCTGAGGCTCTTGTCACCGTCGGCTAGCGACGTCAACTTCACATCGCGGGCTTGTCGTCATGCGAAAGCGCGACCGACGCAGCGAACATGCCGGTCACGCGTGAACTTGGTCACATGGAGGTCACGTAGGCGGGCGCCCTTCTTGGCGAACGGAGAAGGCTCGCGAAGCCTACTGCATCGCTTGCCGCCGCTGGCCGTCTCTTGGGCCCTTGTCGGCGCCATTTCTGAATGAGGAACTTGCATTCTGGGTGGCCAATCGCCAGAATTGAGCTTGGCGTCGATATGGCCAACGCCCGCGCGCAAGTCAGCGCTGCCGAGGACGGCCGCCAACTGTCGGGCCAGTCCTCGAAGCCTCTCTGAAGACGCGCGGCCGCGAGTCAGAATAGAGGATGCCACCTGCGAGCCCACGAGATTTAGAGAAAGCGTTGGCCGCCGACGCCGCAGAGCTGGATCAGTCGACGTCCGAGGCCAAACTTCAGGACGAAAGGGGGCTCCAATCTCAAGTCGGATGTCGCTGCCTGGCTTAACAGAGATCGCCCAGAAGATCTCGACTGGCTTCTGGCCCAACGGCGCCCCCCCGAATCGGCCCCTTCGAGAACTCGACCGACTCGTCGAGCAAGTCCTTCACCTCCTGCTCGCGGGCGATTCCCCTGGAGATCAGCCTCCGCGACGGACGGGCCCAGAGCCCCCGTCAACCCGAAGAACAGCCTACTGGGCAACGGCCAGCCGTACCCAAGTCGGTTGCAGGCTCTGTCTCGACGCTGCTGCGGCTGGAGCCCAAGCTGGCCACGGATGACGCATGATGCCAAGGGGGCCCCGCCGCGCGCAGAGGCCCCGAGCCCCCCTTGGATCCCTGGTGAACCAGCTCGTACTGGCACGGAGGGTAAGCGTGTCGATCCTGGGGCCCTCTGGATCGCCCGTGGACTTGCTCTGGCTAGACCCGCGGGCATGCGCGGGGCAATCGTCTCACCCCGCTGGAGGAACGCACGGGCCGGGCCCTCGGACGAGGCCCTGGAGCACCCCGGGGCGACCCGAGAGCTTCCATCGGCCTTCGGAACCTGGGGCGCCTTTACGAGGACGCAGTTCGCCAAGGGCCCCACGCACGCCCCGGGGAGCTTTAGGGCCGACTCTCTCCCGGGCAACCAATGCAGCCGAGGTCGCTTGCATGCGAGAATGGGCCTCGCCTGGGGGAGGCGAGGGAATTCCTGGACGGGCCCCGCGCTCGTCGGGAGCGCATATTCAAACGGCCAACGCGCGGGTAATTTCACGGCGCGGGCGAGCGCGCGCACCGTCTTGGGCGCGCGCGTGAACGGGCCATTGCGATCGCCGCGCGCGCCATGCCAAGTCGGCGTTTGCCCCGCTAGCGCCCTGGCAAGGGCTCCGTCCTGCAACGACCACCGCGACGACCCCGTCGTGGAACGTTGCCAGAGCTTCGAACTGCAGGTTGTGAATGCCCTCAATCGGGTCCATCTCTATCAGGCTGGGCCCGCGCGCGCGCAGGCTGCCCGCGCAGCCGCAGATGACGTGGCCCGCGCGCGCCGGCGAGACTGCCGCGCCTCCCATCCCGTCAAACAGGCTAACAGGCTCACTCGGAGGACCCGCGGCTCCCTCGCCTCGGCCTGCTACGAGAAGCTGAGGGCTGGCTCGCTCGATCGCGCACTCGCTGGAGCGCCGGCGGGCCCGGGTCTCTCTCGGGGCCCCCGAGAGTCTCCGGGAACCGAGGCCCCATCGGCGAAGCCCGCGGCAATGCGCATGCCGGCCCCCGCCTCGCTGGCATCGGAACATGACGCGACGCCCGCGGTCGTCGCTCGCACGTTGGTGGGCGCGAGCGGCATCGACGGGCAACGGCGCATCGGGCAATGGCGCATCAACTCTCGTCGCCGCCTGGCCCGCTCCGATCTGCTCCCAAGCTGAGTTGAACGCCCCGAAGAGAGGCCGCCAGAACTCCAGCGAACGCGCATCGCGGCCCATGAGAACGAGCAGCTGGTTGCCCAGGGGGTGATCTCTCGACAGGAGCCAGACGGTGCGGCCCAGCAACTGAACTCTCTTTTCTTAACTCGATTGCTCGCAGCTCTGCCCGCGATGCCACCCGCCTCGACGGCTGTCCAAGTGATCAGCAACTCCCTCTGATTGGACTTGCCCGTGCTGATGGGGATGGCCGTCTTCTCTGAGCCCTTCCGCATCTGCGCCTGCAGCCGGCCCGGAATGCCGAGCAAGGCAACTGCCTGGCTGCTGCTAGCCGTCTCGCAGTCGTTCAAGTCGCCCATGTACGCGCTGCGCCACTCGCGAGGTCCCCCATGAGAGAGAGGGGTAGCAACCGTAGCAGGAACAGGTCGATGTCGCCTCCACTCGAGCTCGACAGGGCGTCCTGCACTGGCAGGGCTCCCCAACAAAGCCGCGCGGCGACGGATGCCCTGGAACATGGGGGTGCCGCGCGCTCAGCCCGTGGTCAACGCCACCATGGCGAGTCAGAGCTCCCGGCTAGCCCTGGAACTCGGCCTGGATAGGGGGCGCGCGCCGCTGCGTAGCCCAGCCGCGGTGCAGGGATGCGGCGCGTAAGGGAAGCGCCTTCTGATCATCCCCGCGCGAAAGCAAGACCTCTGGGCCCGAGGAGATGTCGACCCATGCAGGGTATACGGAGCCAAGGCAACCGAGTCCCCTGCCCGAGGGCGGGGGTACGCGCTCATGGGCACCATGTCGAAGATCAGCCGCGTCACCCCGGTCTCGCACTCGGCTGGAGTCGCCGACTTGGTCGCAGCAAACAAGCTGCCAGTGACCCGTCGACCGCGGGCCAGGAAGACGCGCTGTGCAGGCATGGGCGCCGCGGGACCGCGCCCGACAAGTTTGGCAGCAATGGCCCACCAGTCCTTGATCTTCTCAAGGTTGACCTTCCCTTTCTGGGGCGACTCGGACCACTCAGCCTACGGCGGGAGGGGGTCTCGGGCGGCTCTGTGGGCTCTGTCCCCGCGTAGTCCAGGGCGCCCAGGCGGACGATGCCTTCGGCCCAGGTCAGGCCGGGCTCGAGCTTCCCGAACTTGTGCGCCAAGGCTACGGAGTCCTCGCCGAGGTTGTAACTCGACCTTGTCTTCATCGGCTCCTGGGGCCAGCGGGACATGTCCACCTGGGCCAGCGCGTCGCCTGCGCGCCGTGCTCGCAGGATGACGGTTTGGACCTCAGAGAGGCGACTCGCGGCTTCCCCTCTGTCCTTGCCCAGGTGGTCCCAGCAGAAGTAGCTCAGGCCCATGGCGCCAAGGAAAGCCCAAGTCTCGACTGCCATGTCCTGGGCCTGTCTGCGCACGGTAGGCAACGTCCGCCGGAAACACGGGGCATTCGTCGTCGACCTAGCACCGCCATGTCATTCTCGGCCGCCTGCGAGGCCGACGGCTGCTGAACGACACGGGTGTGCAAGACCTGGCAGCCTGCTCGCGGTGCAACATACTTGCAGTTCGAGGCCGGCCCTGCGCAGACATGCGAGATGAACTTCTCTCGCTTGGTGGTCCTGCACTTCAGCCACCACGATAAATACGGGTCGTCTGCTCGAAAATACTCTACATCGTGCGCTATGCCTCCAAGGCTGTCCGTCATCATCCGCCTTACGACGCCCATAGCCGAACCACCACTCGAACCATACGTGCTGGAAGCACGTGCCCGTCTCCATGTTGCCCGAACCGTCCCCCGCCATCGCGGACTCTCGAGGCGGGCGGACGAGCCCTGGAGAAAACGAAAACGGTGTCGGCTCCGCGATGCCAAGAGCTCCTTCGCCCTCGATCCCAGGCCTAACCTGGGGAGCGACCGCTTGAGCCGCACACCTACGGGTCCAGGCTGCGACGCTTTGCACAAGAGGCTCAAACATACCCCCAACCCCACGGGTGTTATGATACAACCGCGCTACTCACAAGTGCATGTGGTTTGGTTATTTGTCTCATTTTTTCGGAGGGGGGGAGCCTCGAGGCCCCCAAAGAACTCCAAGCGACAACAAATACAGCGACTGCGTTGGATAATGAACCATTGGATGAAGAATCCAAGGTCTGGGAGTTAGGCTTGGCCATGGAAATCACCGCCGCCCTCATTAGACAAGGGATCCTCCAGGGTCTGCATATTTCCGGGTTCGATTCCTTAACGAACCCCCCCCCCCCGTATCCGGATCCAGGGGCCCACAGACGTCCACGGCGAACTGAACGGATCGACGGCGAACCCCAGCCGATAGGCCAGACGCCGCCTGCAAGGTCGCAGCGACGCGGCAACCGACCGAACCGAACCGACTAAATGCAGCCGACTGCGATGTAGCCGACCGGGCCGATTTGCGGACACCGTTGAGGGCCCCGCCCCTGGCCCAGACATTCAACACCTTGCTTGTTACTGATGACGTAGCGACCTGGAGCCCGACACCCACACCCAGAGGAAGAAAACTGAAAAAACCTGAGCGAAGACGGCGAAGACCCCATACCTCCGACGTCGTGATTTTTGTCACGTCGTGGACCGCTGGAGGCCTAGACATATTTCCTGGGAGCGGTTTCTCGTTCCGAGTCGCTTCTCGACGGTCGCGGGGCCCGGTAAGCCCCCCAGAGGTAGAACATGCGTCAGGATTGGCCGTCGCGATTTCTCTACCGCGCGACGAGGTGTGAGACGCTGGATGTCTGGGCGTGTGTGCCGCCAGGGCTTCTGCAGTCGCTTCCCCATGCGCTCTCCTGGGACACGAGCCACCTGCTACAAACATGTGGCAACCTACGGTCGGAAACTTTGGAACAGCGTGTCGTGGCGGCGGCCCCAGCGACGCGCAATGCTTTGCAAATGGATGGCGTGTCGCTCCGCTCCGCGGGGCGGGAAGCTCGGAAAGGCCCGCCGGGATGTGGATAGCGTGTCGCACCGGAGCGTGCTGGGCCAGAACCGGCGGAGCGACACGCGATCCCACAGTTCCCGACCGTATCCCGCCGATCGTCCATCGTCCTGCTTAGCTGCCTCCTTCTGGCTCCGCCGACCTCTTCTTTCGGCGGCGAGCAGGGGGGGAAAGTGAGAAGGAGAAGGCCTTCTCAGAGGGCGCGAGTGCTTCTGAGAAGTCTCGCAACCCTCTAAGAAGGGCCTCTTCTTCTCACTTCCCCCCCTCGCTCGCCGCCGATTCTTCTCCCTCCCACTCGCCCCGGGGGAGGCCTTTTGCAGCTGCTGCGTGAACGACGACATGGCCGGCGCGCCAGGGCCCGCCATTGGGCCCCGGGTCCGGAGCGGCGCGCGCGACTGGAGCGCGGCCGCCGCGAACCCCGAGGGGCCCTTGAGCGGGCCGACCTCTCTGAAGGCCCGGGGGCGATGACAACGAGCGCTGCGGCGGCGGAGGCGACGACGACGACGACGATGACGAAGCTCTGGTGGGGATACGAGGATGTAAGGTGCAATGGCGCCAGCAAGTTTCCCGCAGACGCTCTGAGTGCTATGGTCCACGGCGATGGAGGCGACGAGAGCGAGGAGAGGAAGATTTAGAGCAGGGTGGAAGGGAGGAGGGAGGGGGATGAGGACACGAGAGGGGGACGTGGGTCAAGAGAGCGAAGACCAGGATGATAAGCCGGTCCTGGGGAAGGAAGGGGTCGGAAGTCGGTCTGCAAAGGAGGACGGAGAGGGTTGAGGGAGAGAGAGCGGGGAGGGAGGGAGGGGCAGGGACGCCCTTGCCTCTTGTGACCTTGTCACTCTCTCTCTCTCTCTCGTCCTCCTTCCCCTACTTCCTTACAAGAAACTCTTCTCTGCCGCACCCCAGTGGGGCGGTAGGCGGGCTGGGTATTTCGCCGAACACTTCCTCTCCACTTTTCATCCAGAAACTTGAAAGATGCAACAGCTTCAAGGATAGAAGGCAGGCCTTTTCCAAAATGTGGCTCTCGCCTGAGCGCCAAGCACATTCACCATACAAGCGTGCAGCAATTTCATGGATGGAGGGCGGCTCATTTCAAAATGTGGCTCCCGCCTCAGCGCCGCGCGTACTCGTGTTGATCAATATGCGACAATTTCGAGGATGTAGGGCGGCTCATTTTCAACATGTGGTTCCCGCCTCAACGCCGTGCAGATTCGTCGTGTAAGTTTGCAGGAGCTTCAACAATGGAGGGTTGGTACTTTTCGAACTGTGGATTTCGCCCTAGCGCCGTGCGCATTCGTCGAATCAGTTTGCAACCGCTTCCAGGATGGACGGCGGCTCCTTTTCAAAATGCGGCTCTCGCCGCAGTTTCGCGCGCATTCGTCTTCAAAGTTAGCAACAACTTCAAAGATGGAGGGCGGGTCTTTTTCGACATGCGTCTCTTGCTTCTGCGACGCGCACTATGCTTTAAACAGTTTGCAGCAGCTTCGGGGATTGAGGCCGGCTCCTTTCCAACATGTGTCTCTTGCTTCAGCGCTGCGCACATTCGTCTTGACATGTTGCAGCCGTTTCGCCGATTCGTGTGGTCGAATTCCGAAGCATGCTGTCCTGGCGTGATTTAGGGTTGCCACAGCGCAACAGCCACTTTGATTCGCCGTGTTGAAGCCCCACATACGGTACTCGGGCACGTTTTTGGATTGCCGGGGCGCAACATTCACGTGGATTGGGGGGCACGGGTGACGATTCTCAAACGTATCTCTTCTGATGGGCCGCTTCCTCAATGACACAAATTTCGTTTTTGGGACGTATGAGCACGGAGCTTGGAGGGAGGTTTCCTTACAACACTGTTGAAGAGTCTTGGGATTACACTGGTTTTCCTCCCCTTCTTCCCGACGGCACCGAAGCACGAAGGCAGCAGCGAGGCACTGAATTAAAAAGAGGAGGAGGAGGCGGATGAGGAGGAGGAGGACAGCATGGGTACTGCGAGAGTTGGTTAGGTGCCGCGCACACCCGGCGCCCTTCCCATTACTGCGAGAGTTGGTTAGGTGCCGCGCACACCGGGTGATAGATACCGCCCGCCTGCTCTTCCTGTCTCCCTTCACCGAACTCCATCTTCACCCGCATTCATGGTACTGCAAGAGTTGATTAGGTGCCGCGACACCGCGCCGCCTTCCCCATTGAAAAAAATGAAGTGAAACGTGAGTTGCGCCGCGTTAAAAAAAAGCAGCGCGCCCGCGACAATCCAAACGCTGGCCGCGGGTCGTGTCTCGTCCCCGTGCTCGTACCCACCCCTCTTGCTCTGCTACCCAATATCCCTCCAGCCCCCCGTGGACAAAAGGAACGATGTCTACGAACGCGCACGTTGCCAGGAAGGGAGGAGAGGAGAAGGGGGATCGAGGCTAAGAGTAGAGAGGAGAGTAGAAGGGGGCGAGGTCCTCCCCGAGAGCAGCGCTGTCGCCTGAAGAAGGCGGCCCGGCCGCCTCCGGCAGCCGAGTGGTGACAGCTTGGAACAGATGTGCCACTATGAAAGCGCTCAACTCCGAACTGTTGAAGAGTCTTGGGATTACACTGTTCCCTTCCCCTGCTCCTCTTCCCCCTTCCCCTCTCCTCCCGATCGCTTTCCGTTCCCAGCCTCTCTCCTCCCGACATCCCTGCCCTCCTCTTCCTCTTCCTCCTCCTTTTCCTCCTCCTCCTCCTCCTCGTCCTCATCTCCCACCCTTCTCCTCCTCATCCTTCTCCTACCCCTGCTCCTTCCTCCTCATCCTTCTGCCCCATCCACCCCCTCCTCCCCCCCTGCGCGCGAAGTCAGTTCGCGGCTATCCCTTCTCCACCCCCTCGTCGCACGCGCGCCCACTGGGCGGGGGGGCCCTTGGGCGCCACCTGGGGACCTCGTTTCTGGAGGAGGGGGGAGGGTGGGAGGGAGGGAGGGAGGGACCGATCTATCCTACCTACCGGAGGAGGGCGAGGACGAGGAGAAGGAGGAGGAGGATGCGAGGTCTGCCTAGAGGTGGTGGTACCCCATGTGCCTTCCCTTTGGCCTTGCGGTTTCCTTCCCCTCCTTCTCCTCCACCTCCTTCTCTCTCGTCCTCCGCCGTCCTTCTCGCCGCCGTCGTTGGCGCCGCCGCCTTCCGCCGCCGCCGGCCGTCCTCTCGCCTCTTTGTGGCTGCGGCCGCGTCGGAGCAGGCGCAGCCAGGGCGCCGCGGGGCCGCGAGGGCCCCGCCGCGGGTCCGCAGGGGAGCTCCCTCGCGGAGGTGGTGGCGCGGCCGCATCCCCGTCCTCCTTCCTGACTCCTCCCTTCTCCATCTCACCCCAATGTTCCTCCTCCTCCTCCTCCTCCTCCTCCTCCGCCCCGCTCCCCGACTCAGGGGCCACAGGCCCGATGGCCAATGTCGGGCCGCCCGCTTCGCCCCGGGGGTCATAACGCGGACACGTCGTGCCGATCTTGGTGCCGACGCGTGTGTGTGTGTGTGTGTGTGTGTGTGTGTGTGTGTGTGTGTGTGTGTGTGTGTCAGCACTGCGGTCTTTGCAAATCCACAGTGCGGATCATGCGGTTCGAGGGGGGGGGAAACGTAACAGATCTCCCCCCCGCACAGTTCTCTCCTGTTATGTGGAGGCGGACGTTCAAAGTGAGGAGTGTTTAGTGTCTGCACCCATCGCGATTATGTGTGGTCGGCGGCATTCGCATTTTGACGCCCCCAGGGCCGATATTTTGTGTTGCAGCTGGGTCCAGCACTCTGTCGCCGAATTCCTGGGCATTCCATCCTGGTCAGCGTCAATTCGTGAACCATCCTCGAAGAGTCGGCGACTGCTGCCGTAGATCATGACCAAGATCGGCGCTGACAAGATACCGTGACATCGTGGTCATTGCCGATACCGCTACTCTCTGGACCTCTCCTGCTGTGCGTTATGACCATGATTTCGAAAAGAATGCAGCGGTTAAGCGGGGGCCTTCCAGGAGGCCCAACAAACCAAAACGAGGCAAGGGCAGCGACATCGGTGTGCATGTTCCTCATCATCCTCCCCCTCCCCCGTAGTTTTTTGGTTTTGCAATGTGGCTCCCCAAGAGGTCTAGACTCCTTCCCCGAAACTGGTGTTTCACTCAAATCCTTGTTTCGACAGTCCTGGGGCTCAGTGAATGATGCCCCTGGCGGCCGAAAATTCTCTCCGTCGTAGTTCTTTCACGATAAGAGGAAGTGAATGTCCACCCCCTCCTGCTCCACCTCATCCCCGCGCCTCGAATCAAGGGCCGCGGGCCCGACGGCCAACTTCTGGCCGCCGGATGCATCCCCGTAGTCCCGGTCCAAATCGTCAGATCTTCGACTACAAGTCCCACTATCGCTTCTTCCTCCTCCAGCTCTTCTCCATCTCCGCGTGCTCCTGACTCCTGCCTCTTCCCTCCTCCCCCTTCTCCCCCTCCTCCTTCTTTTCCTCCTCCTCTCCTCCGCGACCCTCGACGCCCCGATCCTCGCGCTCAGGGGCCTCAGGCCCGATGGCCAGTTTCTGGCCGCCATCTGCAGCCCCGCGGCCCCCTGCCGGCTGGCCAGCCTCGCGCGCTTCACGGTGGAGGCGGCCGACCGCGCACCACGCCGAGCCTCGTGGGGGGGGGGTGGAGGGGCCCATGCGACGGCTGACGCTCGAGAGGGGGGAAGGCAGGAGGAGGACGAGAAGGAGGCAGGGGGCAGAAGTGGAGGCAGCAGGCAGGAGGCATGATGATGCTGATGATGATGATGATGATGATGATGATGACGATGATGATGATGATGATGATGGTGATGATGATGATAATGATGATGATGCTGCTGATGATGATGGTGGTGGTGATGGTGCTGTTGATGATGCTGCTGCTGATGGTGATGATGGTGATGACGATAATGATGATTATGATGATGATGATGATGATGATGATGATGATGATGATGATGATAGTGGTGGTGATGGTGGTGGTGGTGATGATGATGATGATGGTGATGATGATGATGATGATGATGATGATGATGATGATGATCAGCCGTAAGTTAAAAAGTGGTTCGTCCACCAGCAGTCTACTTGAATGTGGCGTGATGGGCTGCTGCTGGGGCGCCATCAAGCTGCTCAGTGCGCAGCGACTGGCCAGGCTCGTACTCGGCTTTGGCTTTGTGGTACACATAGAACGCCAACACACAAAGGTTCAATGCTCCTGCACGGCTCGTCGCACAATCGGCGGTATTGTATTGTTTCGGGGTTGTGAGGCCCACCAAGTGGATAGGAGAGGAGGAGAAGTCAGAAAGCGACGAAGGACGGGACATGTGAGGTAATGAGCGATCGCGTCGGGCACATCGGCGCATCCGAACAGGCAGGATGCGGTGCCACACGCGTGCGTACGGTGAGAAGTCGTCCACCCTCCTGGGAGGGTTTTGAGCACTGACCATTGCCAAGCAGGACGCAGTGTCCGCAAGACCGAAAGAGAATCCACCCACCGTTCCCCGACCGACCCCGTTACTAACTGCAGCAAACCCCATGCACGCAGTCGCTTGTTAATGGTGAGCTCGAAATCAGGGGGGGAGAAGGAGCGACGCACGGAGGCGGAGAAAATACGCTGCATCTTAGCTTTGCGACCAGCTGCACGGGCGATACTGAGCACATCACGAGCAGCGGAAACGGTATTAATCCAATGGGCGTCAATGGCGCTCGGGTCGGGAGCATGCTCCCGGAGCGATTGAAATCGTTGCAGAATGCTTTGCGAGATCTTCCAGCACGGCGCGCTCCATTTCTGCCGGATTCATGAAACAAGCGGTAGATATATCAACGCCTGCTCCGACCAGGAGCGATGGTCTTCTTCCCATCCCGTCAGGGCGTGATGCGCGCAGCGCCACAGACTCGCCATGCTGAGAATATGCGCAGATGCTGGTGAGATGAGCGCGTGATCCTTAACTCCGAAGTGTTCCGCATTCCGAAAGGTGCTCGGAAGAAGGCGCAGAGCTTTGTGTAACGCTGGGATTTCCTTCAGCAGCACCCACCGCGGGATTGAGTAGAGCTGCGCGATGATGATGAGGATGATGATGATAGAGATGATGATGATGATGATGATGATGATGATGATGATGATGATGATGATGATGATGATAGAAATGATGGTGATGCTGACTATGATGGTGATGACAATGGTGATGGCGATGATGAAGATGTTGCTGACGATGCTGATGGTAATGATGATGCCGCTGATGGTGGTGGTGGTGGTGATACTGATGATGGTGATGTTGCTCATGATGTTGGTAATGCTGATGCTTATGATGGTGAGTCTGATGACAGTGTTGCTGGGGATGCTGCTGGTGATTGTGGTGATGGCGATGATGGGGATGGTGTTGGTGGTGATGAGGCTGCTGACAAATGGGGTGATGATGATGAGGATGATGGGATGATTGTGGTGGTGATAATGATGATGAAAATGTTAATGCTAATGAGAATGGTGATGATGACGATGCTGATGACGATGATGATGAGAATGCTTCCGGTGATACATTTGACGATGATGACGGTGTCCATAGGTTACGATGCGATACGATACGCACGCCCTTCACACCATGCTGTAGGATTGTCCAATAGGTACGGCGCTCGCTCGTGATTGCAACGTCGCTTCGCACCATGCCCTACACACTGTGCGACTGACTGATGGCAACTGGCGCGGTGAACTATCGCTTTCGAAACGGGGTGCATCTACCATGTTCTACACACCAGGGCCGCGGACGTGGCCACGCAAGGGGGAGGCTGTGGCCCCTGTAGCCACAGACGCATAAAGTTGCCACAGGGGGTTGAAAAGTTTACTTGGCGGCAACTTTATTTTGAATGCCAGCATGTACGATATAGCTGCTGCGGGCTGAACAAGAAAACCGTTGGGTCCCTGGTAAAACTCCGCACGCGGCAATCAAATCGGTAACCAATTGCTTGTCAGATCTCGGAAGGGGTGTGTACTTGGCAGAACGTCTGATCCAGCAGGAGATCGTTGCGACTGGGTCAGGACATGAGGTTTGCCTGCTGGTCGTAGGAGCGGCGGTGACCTCATTCGTTACTGAACATGGTATCTGTGAACTCGAGCTGGCTCCAATCGGTGTTGACCTCGCCCCCGTCGGTGCTGAACATCGTATCTGTGATGGTGGGCTGGTATCAGTCGATGCTGAGCGTGCCCCAATCGGTGCTCCGCATGGTATATGTGATGGTGATCTGGCTCCAATCAGTGCTGTGTTTGGCCCAGTCGGTGGTGAACATTGTATCTGTGATGCGGACATGGTACCAATCGGTGCTGAACTGGTTCCCGTCAGTGCCGGGCTGGCCCACAACATCGGATGTGAAATGGCAGGATGTTTCGCCCATGCCAGGCGCCATCACGTAAGCAGCGTCTTCAAGACCATCTGCACCCCTCGCTCCATTTAAACTGTGGGATCACGGCAGAGCTCACTCTTGCTCCGAGGGGCCTGCTCCATATGTTGAGCAAGGATCTTCCGAAAAGGCGGGGTCTCACGATGCAAAGGTCACGTTGCGAAACTCTTTCTGATAAACGTGCCCGCACTTAGTCGACACTGAGTACTCGTCGTAGTCCGTCCAAGCCTTTGTGACGTCCGCGTTCTTCTGAGCCCCGTGCGACTCGCCCAACAGGGGAAATCCCACGACAAGTCCGCCGCCCTTGGGCCAAGAATGAGGAAGAGGCAAGAGGGAGGAGACAGGATGGTGATGATTATAAAGAAGATGATGATGATGTAGATACTGATGATGATGATGATAACGGTGGTGATTAAGAGGGTGATGGTGGTGATGACGATGGTGACGAAGTTGAAGATGGTGAAGGTGAGGGTGATGATGCTATTGATGATGATGCTAATGATAACGATGGTGAGGTTGATGATGGTGATGATGATGACGATGATGATGCTGATGCTGTTGTGGATGGCAATGATGATGATTATGATGCTGTTGATAACGATGACGGTGATGATGATGTTGATTATGCTGATGATGCTGAAGATGATGATGTGGAGGAAGAGGAGGAGAAGAAGGTGGAGGTGGAGGAGGAGGAGGCAGGAGGAGGACGAAGAGCCATGATGAGGAGGAGGAGGATGCTTGCCGCCGCGACCACAGTCGATGTAGGTTTTCGGATCGCCAAAAACAAAAAGACGAGGAGGAGCAGGAGTGTGATAATCATAAGCGCAAAGCGCCAGGGATAGTTTTGCTGTGTGCGCGGCTCGAACAACTGGCGTGGCTCTAAGGCCAGGGGCCCTGACATTTTTTTTACCTAACAGCGAAGACTGATTGGTTTCTAGTGGTCTCAAAAGAAAGCACCATGAATCCCCAAAGGGGTCTGGGCAGATGCCGGACGGGTGCCGCGGGAATCCGGGGACTCCCCATTTATTGCCAGGAGCCACATTTTGACTGCCCGGAGCCAACAGAACACAATTCCCGGGCCACATTTTGAATGCCCGGAGCCAACTGTAGGCCACTTCGTGTTCTTTGTGTTCCCAGAACACCATTCCCAGGCCACATGTTGAATGCCCGGAGCCAACTGTAGGCCACTTCGTGTGCGTCGTTTCCCCAGAGCACCATTCCCAGGCCACAGTTTGAATGCCCGGAGCCAACTGTAGGCCACTTCGTGTTCTTCGTCTTCCCAGAACACCATTCCCAGGCCGCATTTTGAATGCCCGGAGCCAACTGTAGGCCACTTCGTGTTCTTCGTCTTCCCAGAACACAATTCCTGTACACTATTTTGATTGCCCGGAGCCAACTGTGAGCCACATCGGGATCTTCGTGTTCCCAGTGCAACAGTCCTGTGCCATATTTTGAATGCCCGAGCTGAGGCGGGCTGAGGCCGAGGCAGGCTGAGGCCGAGGCAGGCTGAGGCTAAGGCTGAGGCACGCCGAGGCAGTCTGAGGCTGAGGCTAAGGCAGGCTGAGGCTGAGGCAGGCTGAGGCTGAGGCTGACGCAGGCTGAGGCCGAGGCAGGCTGAGGCTGAGGCAGGCTGAGGCTGAGGCAGGCTAAGACTGAGGCTGAGGCAGGCTGAGGCTGAGGCTGAGGCTGATGCAGGCTGAGGCTGAGAGGCTGACGCTGAGGCTGAGGCAGGCTGAGGCTGAGGCTGAGGCCGAGGCAGGCTGAGGCTGAGGCTGAGGCAAGCCGAGGCAGGCTGAGGCTGAGGCTGAGGCTGAGGCTGAGGCTGAGGCTGAGGCTGAGGCTGAGGCAGCTGCTGGCTGAGGCTGATGCAGGCTGAGGCTGAGGCAGGCTGAGGCTGAGGCTGACGCAGGCTGAGGCTGAGGCTGAGGCCGAGGCAGGCTGAGGCTGAGGCCGAGGCAAGCCGAGGCAGGCTGAGGCTGAGGCTGAGGCTGATGTTGAGGCAGGCTGAGGCTGAGACAGGCTGAGGCTACGCTGAGCGTGCTGTCTGGGTTGCGGCACCACTCGTAAAAACCGGTGCTGTTCGCTGTAGATGCCGGGTTTTGATCTGGTGGTAGACCTGGCCAGGATAGCGTTCACCCCGTGCCGCCGTGTAGTAGACCTGGCGCATGCCTCGTACCGCCCCGTGCCACCGTGTTAAAAATCATTGTCAACGTTCTGGTACTAGTAGCATGCATTAAGT